GATAGATTCTTGTTATATTAGAAGGTGGAATGAAAAGCTAGTGAATGAATAGATGTATGGGGAAGAGGGAGGAAGAGAAGCTAAGGAGAGCGCTCATGTTTCTGGGTTGAGAAATAGATGAAATGGTGTCATTCACTAAGACCAAAGAAGAAGGAAGTCTATGGACAAGGCAGACAAATACTGATGAGTTCTGTTTTGGACTCAGTTTACAGTGTCTGTAAGTTTCTGTATATTTCCTCTTCATAGTAAACAAGCAGTTGGCTGATGTGAATTTGAAGCTCAAGGAAGATTTAAAATACATAAAAATATAAATTTAATATTTAAAAAATAAATGGTATCTGTGGAATGCTGATTTGTATTATTTATATACATGATTTAGATTCAGTTGATTTTCTCCATAAAAAATAAAAAATCTGACAATTTTTGGAATATTTTAACTGCTTCTAAAAGTACACAGTAAGGTGATTTTTTTTAATTTTTTTTTATTGTATGATAAGGATCTCCAGGGATATAAAATAATAGTTAAGCAATAAACAGTTTTCTTTAAGGCATATCATTTTGCTCGTCTTTTAAAATAACTGTACTCATCTGCACTCTTTAATAAAAATTCTGGATTTACTTATCATAGTATTACCCAAGCATGAACAATTGTATGCAAAATAATGGTGTGAACAACTATATACACAAGGTTATTTCAAATGAAAACACATGTGAACAATTACATGCAAAAGTTTATTTCAAATGAAAACACATATGGTAGGTAAACAAAGTCAACCATGAGTAGGAATGAATTTATAATGTCCCTCATTAAATCTAGGTGTTCAAAAAGAAGTACTTGAATTAACATATATCCATGTAAAGATGCATGAAATAGAAAATTCAGAGTCTGAAGTAGACAGCTGTCATTATGAATCCTGCTACTCCTTTCATTATTGCAAAGCACATAGAGTATTTGTATTAAAGTCAATTAATCAGAATTATTGTCATAATTTCATTAGCTGGTTACTGAGTTAACAAATGTCTGGAGAGGGAAAATGTCTCCAAAGTTTAACATAAAGTCTCCTGTACTTGAAGAAGCAAATATAATTGTTTAAAGACCATGGATTTTGTACTCTGTGACCCAGCTTCCTTTTTTGTCAAATGGAGACATTAACACATAACACAAAATGTTGTAATACAAATTTAATAAGATAATCCTTGGAAAATATTTACCAGGGAACCTAGCTTAAGAAAATATTCCATAACCATGGCTTATATTAGCTAGTGACATCAGTTGTTATGACACTTTACATGAGTTAAAATCATTATATCTGGACCCAAGGAAAAGGAAATAGCATCCTTTGGGGTTTAAAATATATATCCCCTCTACATTATTCTCAGTACCATTGAATAAAGGTTAATTCAGATGACCACTAGTTCTTTGACAAGGCTATTTCAGTTGTTACTCCAACGGGTCTTCCTGCTGTTACCTCAACCCATTAGAGCTGTGAGTTTATCACTACCCACTTAAAACATACATGAACAGATTACGAAAACAGAAAACAAGTTAGTAAACAAGCCAACAACAACAAACACTCTTCAATGTTCTAAAGAAAGACACCAGCAATTGGTACTAGACAACATCCACACCACCAACCATATTACGCTTATTAAAACCAAGCTGATCTGGCCCTACATCAATCAATGCTCATGACCGTCTCTCACCACTGTCTCTCATTCTCCCCATCCCATTTTTCCATTCCCACAATATATATGAGCTGATGTCCAGTGAGAGACGTGAGAAGAGAGAAGATTGGGTTAATAGCTTTACAGGGGGCGTAATACTTAGTGTTCTTTCCTCCCTTACCCAAAAAGCAGAATTCATAAACACTGGAGAAGCCAGAATAAAGCAAAAACTTGAACGCTGTTCCTTGACTGGTTGTTTGTTGAGCTAAAATCCTAAGGACTCCTCCATCAGAAGTATGGTGAGAAAGGTCTTAGGAGAACTAGACAGTGTACAGCTTGGTGGTGTATTATGTAACTAAAGATACAGTAGTGCCTGCTTTCTCTTCTGAAGTTTTCTAAAGCTGGGGGTGGGTTGCTGGAAAACAGTGAGGTGTTTGCTGCAGGCTGAGAAGAGGACGGTGATATACTGTCATCACAGTACTAACAGGGCACAGAAGAGGACTTCAGCAGAAGACTCCAGGGTTCTCCATGGAGGAGCATAGAGGATGAACAAAGGCACATGTCATGCTATTCATGTAGCTCCCGGCCAATAGTGATGACACCCCAAAGAAAAAATGGGCAGGAAGCACAGATCAACAGACCTGCTACCTCTTTCTTAACAGACCAAGGAAACCTGTTCAATACACAAGAAAATAACACATATACTATCTCCACGGTATCTCAGGACAGACATACCTTCCTAAACCCCCACCAGCACAGGAACAAAATTGGAGCTGCAGAAGCAAAAGAGTAAGCTGAACCCTTCTTACTTCTGGTCTCTAGAGCTGGGACTCTTGCCAAACGATGGAAGGGGAAGCAGTGAGATATGAACTGGATACGCGATTAAAGTTTCCAGCAGGTCTGAATTTTAATAACTGAAAGGACTGGAATGTGATGCAGTCTACTCAAGGTATCGTTAAGCGATGGAAAATAGAGATTTAACAGAGTGCAATTAAAAGCAGAGTTTGGAGAAAATTAAAACTGGCCCATATATTATACTCTACTGAGATGAAACATCTCCAAAGCAGGTTTAAAAGACTGGGGTGAATTTTGGGTAAGGCTTTTAATAAAACACCTGATTAGGCATTGTAGTTAGCTTTTCTCTCACCCATTTTGGCAGGTTTGTAGAGAAAAAAGAATTTGCATGCTATTTTAAAGCAAGGGGAGGGAGAATAAGGATATCCTTTGTAGCTCTGGGAAAGGCTGAAGTCAAGGTCAAGGGGTCTGTGAATATTGTGTTAGGAACAGGTAGAAAAGTGAGTTGGTATAACCACCCTAGCAAAAGTGAGTCAGTCCACTTCAAAGAAAAGCCAGGTTCTCTGATATGACATGCTTTGGGCATGTGTTTGCATCTGAAAAACAGTTAATTTCTCACTGCAAAAATAAAAAAAAAATGTGTGTTCGTATGTTTATGTGATGTGTTTTAATAGTAGCTGATGGCTTTCCGTGAAAAACTTTTGGATTATTAATTCCCTTGTTGTTCTACAGTGTTGATTATTTGAGGCTCTAAAAGGCATGAATTTTAATGGTTACAATACCACTTTTATGAAAGGAACTTTACTGCAGTTACATATATAATTATAGTTAAAGTAAGCATATATGTTTGGTGTCTAAAGTTTCTCTTGTTCAGTGACAAATTGTTTATATTTTAATATCTTAAGGTAATCTTAATATAAAGAATAAAAATACAAATTTTATATAAAGAATAAAATATATATACATATAAAATATTATATAAAATATAAAGAATAAATATACAAATTAGCTTCTCATATGGTCTCTACAGAAAAAATTGTTTAGATTGTTGCTTAACATAGCTGCTTTCGAAGAGTTCTGCAATGAACACAGGAGTTGCCTCTAACTGGCGTCACTTCCTCTCATCACTAATGCAACTGTCAAAGAATGTCTAACTTACTTTGAAAACCAACATCCGAAATCTCTAAAACTCCTATTCCTATATTTAAATTGATTGCTGGATATTATTCCCTCTTGCTAATTCCACTATTCTTTTTAGTTTTACCCATTACAATCACTTTTTCGTGTTAGTTATTCCCCAGACGCATTTCAAAGGGTAACAAATGTTATGTTACTTTTATTGTCCCCATGGCTCCAACACTTCTCAAGGCGTTTCCAGCTCAAAGAAAACAGATACAGTGTAGTTCTTCACAGAAAAGGTAGAATAGAAATGAATGTTATTAACCTCTGTAGAACTCGGTATGACTCAGCTTTCACACTGGTAGTTCCTCCTGTGAAACTCAACTGGCCTTTCAGAAACCCACCCGGTCTTCTGACAAACCCATGTGCAGACCAGATGTATCTGTCTCTTGATGCTACAATATAAAACTATATTTTCCTTATACACTAAGATCATCTATCATGACAATACCTTTTCATGAATAAAAATTAGTTTTATTAAGTATAACTGCTTTATTTCTGGCTTCATAGGCAGGCATACTATGTCTTTCAGGCTAATGAACATATAAAGCTTCTCACAAGAGGAGAGTAATCCTATTATTAGATGATTTTCTATTCCCATTAATTGCATAATCACAAGGTCCACAATGACAGAAACTAAGGAATGTTTTCTGGGATGTTGACTCAAAAATGTAGACCGTTAATGAAAGCTACCTGTTACTATAATTGTTTTGACTTTCTTTTCAACCTCAGAAAGTTTCTAAAATCACTTGGACGTCTGGTAAAATTAACATTGACATTCTTGGATTATAGGAATATGTATTCTGCATGGCTAGAAAGGTCTTAATTGGGATGACTGGGATAAAGTTGTGCTTAGTTCGTCTCTAGCTTATTGGGTCTACTTTTCCTGCCCAACCGAACTCACATTAGCAGGAGAACAAAGAGACCTACAGACCATTTCAAGGATACTGGGTAACCCGAGCAATTTTAAATGCATTTCTGTTAAGTTGCCTGGCTCCTCCAGTGTCTGAACATCTTTCGCAGGGTTTTTGTTTTGTGGTTTGTTTGTTCTTTTTACCTTGATAAGGACCATTCCGTGACAAAATTATGGCACACAGTAATGAAAGCAAAACTACAGCTCACTTTCTTAATCATACTGGCAATAAAAGAAATACAATATAAGCTACATTTAGTGCAGAAAACAGGGCTAAAAATTAAGAAAATCAATATCTCAACTTTTGGTTGAGGATCAGTACAATAAATTTAAAAACCGAAAGTGTGAGACAAATATCACGAGTCAGTTTTATTTTGCTTTAACACCATAATTGCTGTTTTCGATATTTACTTAACCTTTGTCTCCTTTGTATTGTTTCCTGACTTACCTGCAGTTGGAGTGGGCCTAAGCCTGGTGTTGCTGCGGCAGCAGCTGCCATGGTAGTTGGGATCAGCTGAACAGGGTAAGGGTCACCTAAGTAAGAGAATAATAGAGGCGTCAGCACCTTTTATCTACTCTCCACCTGCAAATTAAACTCATGCATTCACTCTTTCCAAAAGCCTTCTTTTGTGTGCCTCGCTGAGGCCTAATGAAAAGCTCCATTGTGCAGCCTTTTACTAACACTCTTTTCACAATTCTGGCTGAGAGAGGAATGTGAATAAAAGGCACAAGCAATTAAGGCGGAAACCTCATCCTTTTTTCATGATGTATTTAGGAAAATGGGAGGGAAAGTGAGCATTGATCAGAGGGCTGCACTTTGTAACACACATGCGCGTGCACACACAGACACACACAATTTTAATATGAGCACAGTAACTCCGCAGCGAATTTACAGTATTGTGATAAAAGGAACTTAACTTACTTTTACTTTAACGAATTAAACTCCAAAGATTTAAACAAAGTAGCCTGTCTTTTAAATGCTATGTTACTGTCTTGATTCAAATAATATCTCATAGACAAATTAACAATAAAGAAAATATTTTATGTGTTTTTCAAGTTATATGAAATATTGGCATCTTTATCATCCAGAGATAAATGTTTGCAAAACTGTATCTTAATGAAAGTGGAAAATAAATTGCTTCCCCCAAAAGTTTTTTATCTATTAAAAAATAATAGCAATTCAAAATTAATCCTGAAGTTTTACTGTTATATGACCTGTAAAAATATAGGAACACATACAAACATACAGACAAGCACATAGAGAAGATTATTCTGCTTATTTTTGATGCGAATCAAGAGGCTTTTCTTAATTAGTAAAGAGGTAAAATAGACCTGTTGCATAGGGTCCAATGATTTGCTGAAAAATACAACTAGCAATGTACCCTGTTTATCATCTGACACATGACAACAGCAAATAACCGAAAATAATAGAGGTAAGAACAATTTTGTAATACATAAAACATTTTGTAGAAATCTGATTTATAAAAACCTTGTTGAAAATATTGCATGCATAGAAAATATAACTTAAAATAACTCAGTTAATATACCCATTCAAAAACATTTACTGAGTACCTGCTATGCATTAAGCACTCCTCTTGGCACTAGAAATAAAGCTTTGGAAAAGATTAATATGCATATATGAATTTACTGGGAATTTAATGAAGCTTAAACTTAGGGCTTTTGAAAGTGGTCTCTTGCAGTAATGTTCACTAGATTTTTATGTTTGTTGTATATTTTTATATTTACCAGTTTTCTTAATTTGATATGATTTCTTGTTATAAATGAATATTCACTTTTATACCCAAGTGTGTGTATTTGTTTGTGTGTGCGTCTGGGCATATAAAATATTTTGCACTTTTATTCTAAAGAGAGTCTCCCAGATTATTTTTTAGGCTTCAAAACACCCGAATCTACCTCTGTGGATCTGGCCTTCCAAAAACTTTAAGTTCAATAGGAGAAAAAGATAATTAAATGATTAGTATACAATATAATGACAGTTAACACAGGAAGTACATAATGCTATGTACTACACTGTGGGTGTCCCAAACCTAGTCTGATAGCTCAACGATAGTCTCCAGGAAAAAGTCATGTTTAAGCTGAAACTTGAATTAAATTACAGTTAGCTAGACAAAGAAGGGAAGAAAGAGTGTTTCAGGCAGGGAAACAATTTTCATGAAGAATCAAATGGAAGTCTTAGTCATAGTCCAGTCAATCCCTGTACTGCTTAAGTATAGACAGGAGGTAGGGAAGTGAGATATATGGGGTTGGGGAGGGAGTCAGATGCCGGATTATGTATGCTTTTTGTCGACATTAAATAATCGAAACTTTATCCCATAGGATAAAAGAAGTCATGAAAATGGAAAACAGATGGGTTGAGTAAAATCACTTAAGTTGGAGGTTGAGAATTGTAATCAGCTAGTAAACAGATGCAGAAATCTGTATAAAAGGTAATCCTGGTCTGGACTAGGGTGGTGACATGGAGATGGAGAATGAGGCAGGGACTCAAGTGATATTTAAATGTCATATCTGGTAAAACTTAATGACTGTTACTAATGAGAGTAAGAGAAGACTCAAGGATGTTTTTCACTAAAACAACTGATTGAGGAGTGGTAGTATGGACTGGGTTTGTAAACACAGATTAGAAGCAAGACTGCCAGGTGGGGCCTAAAGGGTGGTGTTGGGGGAAGGAACAAAGAGTTCTGCTTTAGATATTTTCAGTTTGAAATTACGATTAGATATCCAAGTTGAGGCATTTATTAGATACATGATAAACATGTTAAAATTTTAGAGGAAAAGTCCTCATAGAAGATATATACTTGAGAATGGTTAGCATGTATCTGGAATATAAGCTGTCAGCTTTGATGAGACCAGTTAAGAGTTAACCGTAGATTAAAAACAAAAAGAGCTCCAAAAAAATTGGACTGTGGGGTGTACTAACATTTATAGTCAGGGAGATAGGTAACTAGCTGAAGAGACTGAGAAGAAATGTAAATGTGGTGTTCCGGAAGCCAAGTAAAGAAAGACTTGCAGACAGTGATGATGATGATGATGATGATGATGATATTATTATTCGAGTGCTGGATTTAATAATGTGGAGGTCACTAGTAACTGCAACAATGATGGTTTCAGTGAAGTGGAGGGTGAGAAAGCCTAATCAGAAAGAGTGATCAACAGAGGATGATCAAAGAAAAGAAGTGGAGGCAGGAAGTGTAGACCCTTGCTTTTCAAGGCAGTATTCTAGATGACGAGTATTGGCATCACCTATGAGTTTCTTAGAAATGCACATTTTTAGAACCCACCCTAAAGCTACTGTGCAGGCAGCCCCTGAGATAGAACCTCCAATGACTCCCACACCCTGGTATTTATACCCCATGTAATCCCCTCTCTTTTAACGTGGCCTGGATCTGATAATTGCCTTCTAATGCACCGAATATGGCTAACATAGTAAGATTTTACTTTTGAGATTAAATTACAAAAGTATTTTGGCTGTCTTGCTTGCCCTTATCCTCTCTGTTGGAGCAAGGAGCTAGGTTGTAATCTGCTCTATGGAAAGACTCACATAGCAAAGGACAGATATTTTTGGCCAATAGCAAGCAAAGAAATGAGGCATGCCAACAGTTAATGACAGGAGTTTGGAACAAATTCTCCCCAGGTCAAGCCTAGAGATGACTGCAATCAGGGCCAATACTCTGACTGCAGTGGGAAAGATCCTGAGCCAGAGGTACCCAGCATGGCTGTGTCCAAGTACGTTTGTTGTTTTAAGCCACAACAATTCTTTGGCTAATTTACTGAAGTATGAAACATAGCATCTGAATCAGAATTTAAATTTTAAGAAGAGTCCCAGATTATTTGGATGCATATTAGGGTTTGAGAAGTGCTAGAACTGACAATTACCCTGAGGTGTTTTACAGCAGCTATTTCATAGTTTCACTTGTGTGATAAAGAAAACTTTATAAGAAGGTACATATGTGGAAAAATTACACCATACTTGTATGCTAATGAGAAAGATTCAGAAAATAGAGACAAAAACCTATGACACAGGAGAGAGAAGGGACAACTGATATGACATGATAGTGCTTTATCATTTCATATTTTTAGTATATAATCTTCAAAACACTGCAATTTTATAAAAGGACATTTAAATATTTCAAAGCTAAATTCATGCAAACTAGCTAAAATTGCAAATACTATTACAGTATGACCATTAAAATTGACAATTTAAATACTTAAAACTACATAATTCATTTGTATTACTAACTTAGTATACATAATCTTAAAATTAACAAAAGCAAAATTGTAGAGGCTGTGGTACTCTTCACAGTGAAAATTCATTTGTATATTATTTATTTTCCCCGTTGTAAATTAACAAGTTAATAAGCACTTTAACATTTATCATGAACAGAATTCTGCTGGGTGCTGTGTGATACAAAACAATACTTAGTCTGTATTTACTACATTTCTATCTTTTCTAATTAAGTGCTTATTTGAGTAGTGTTGATGATCATCAGTAGGTGCTATAGGAGGTAAGGGAGAACGAATCCAGGCTTCAATCTTAAGAGAATAAAGATGAAATGATAGGGAGCTTGCCCTTGAAAACTTGCAGGTGAAGGGGAGGAGAGATCTTTCAGGTAGGGCGAAATGCATCAAAGCATGAGTATGACATGTTAAAGGAATGTAGAGAAAAACCAATTTAAATAACAAGTGACAGAATAAAGTAGAGAGAGAAGAGATTGAAGACAGGAGTTGGGAAATCTTTTATACTCCAAACTTGAGATCTGGATATGAAAAGGCAATGGACAAGAAATGAAGTTTTAAGAAACATCATTAAAGAGGTTAAATGTAGGAAGTATTAAAGATCACTTGGTTCTCCATCCTAGAGACAAAGACATATTCCTAAATTTGTTTAACTCCTAAATTTAACAAAATACCTGCAGATGTTTTGGATACTTTTGCATTACTAGCATCTAATTATTAATATCAAATTATATGTACATTTAAAACTCATTACTTATAATACAGATTATTCCACGCAATTAAAAAATATGCATATGTTAGAATCTTTTTATTTCCCAAATTAATGAATGTGTATTAATGAAATTAACATAAATTATCTTTCCTCTGGAATATGCATATATATATAAATAGTTATTATGTTTTACTCATGCCATATTATATGAGTGTAAATATATGTATACACAGGAATACCTTAGACATATTGTAGGTTTGGTTCCAACCACCATAATAAAGGAAGTATCACAATAAAGCAAGTTTTGCACACTGTTTTTGTTTCACAGTGCATATAAGTCATGTTTAGACAAAACTATAGGTCATGAAGTATGCAATAGCATAATGTCTAAAAAAATATATACGTACCTTAATCAAAAAATACTTTATTGCTAAAAAGTGCTATCATTTGAGCCTTCAGTGAGTTGTAATCTTTTTGCTGGTTAAAGGTCTTGCTTGATGTTGGTGGCTGCTGACTAATCAGGATGGTGACTGTTGAAGTGGTTAGGGTGGCTGTGGGAATGAGAATT